TTCTAAATGAGATTCCAGGAATGATGAACGCGACCGAGACCGACGTCAAGATAAAGTGCGCTCTAATGTGACCCTTAAATGCCCACATACGCGCCCATGGTCTGCGGTTGAGCGGGAATGGCTGCCTGCCGGGTCTCACGTTTTAACAGGGTCCCACGCGCCAGAAATAACACGCTGTTTTGTGTGCTACTTCTTGTGTGCAGCATGCGCGCGGTGCCAACGAGGACAGTAAAACCATGGACATGCCCCTTGGCAGGGGTACGCCATATTCGGCCCATAAATGTAAGCAAACTTTTATCAAGGAAGATTTAGGCTCAGCTTCAGATGCATTTAATCCGATTCCACGCAATTACATTCTCATGGAACATGCATTATTAAACGCTTGAAAAAAATTGAGCAAAACAGTACGTGTACAGTGCCGTGCATCTACCGCACATCGAGGAAAACGCCAGTGTCTTTCTCAGCTGCCCAGACTCTGACCACGAAACCTGTTCGATCAGACGGTTCCCAGTGAAGCCCGCCCTGACCTGAGTCACGTGACCCTGACCGTCGGCCGCGACGGCCCCGTCGGCGCCGACGCGTCCGACGCGACCGACGAGGCCTGGCGCTAGCGGGCCCGGCTCATGGTCGCCCCGTCGAACCCGCCTGTTTATTTTCGCAGAGAAGTAGCCTGTTGTTGTTGTGCCAGACGCCAGCGAAGGGGTGCGAGACGTCCGGGATATGTCAGAGGCGCGCCGCCCTAATTGATTACGGAAGCGGTTTTTGCACGCGGGCCCTCGCCGGGGGTGAGAGGCGGGCGGCACGCGGAGGGTCTCGTCGAGTTCGGTGATGTCTCATTCGGAGGCGCGAGCACGGACGGCCCGCGCGGTGGAGCACGCGGGTCGGCGAGCCACGCGGAGTTCCAGCGGCAGGAATGCCGAGCTGGTGGCTGCTTGGACGCGCCGGAGGGCTCTGCGCCTAACGGGTGCAGAGCTCGTGACGATGCAGACGCGTCCTTCACGCTGAGATCGCCGAGCCGTGACTTTGGGAAGTTTGGCCTTGGCTCAGCGGCTATTGTTCCAGCGGCATTATATCAAGACGTGGGCTCTGCCGAGCTTCCATTCGTTGATCTTGAGCCGAGACCAAATTATTCCTGGGGTTCTTCTTCATATTTCGTGGATGTAACACTCGAGGAGACAAGCGTGTCTCTCTTACTCGAGGAGACAAGCTTGTCTCTCTTACTCGAGGAGACAAGCGTGTCACGTACCGTCCCAGCTCCAGCCGTCACATCAACGGACAGACATCGGCTTGTTGCTACGCAATAGCATAGCAGTTTACCCCGAATGAGTGCCAATGCTGGACCTGGACCATGTAGTCGTCCCTCCCGCCTTGCACGCGCCCCTGTACGCATTTTTATGTTGCTGAAGAGGCCGAAGTGCTCCTTCGGCAATGAATGGAACGACCACCGGCTCATGCACGAGAGAGACTGACGTCTCATGTGAGTGTCAGCCGTGCCACCGTGCGCCATTGCCGGTCACGTGGGCGGGTGGCTGGGCCGTGGAACGCGGTGTAGCGTTCATAACCGCCCAGTCCGGGCATCACCAAGCCGGCTGATCACGGCCGAGTCCGGGCGCTATTCGCGGATCGTCAAATATCGCCCTTTGTCGTCAGCTTGATGCGATTCTGATTTCTGAGAACGTCGTACCATGATATATA